CTGCTGCTCCTGCTGCTCCTGCTGCTCCTACTGCTCCTACTGCTCCTACTGCTCCTACTGCTCCTACTGCTCCTACTGCTCCTACTGCTCCTACTGCTCCTACTGCTCCTACTGCTACTGCTACTGCTACTGCTACTACTGCTTCGACGACGACTCCTACCACTACTGCTACTACTACTGTTCTTCCTTCTCGCCCGTGCTGGCAGCAGACCAGCTGCAGTAGCGCCGGCGTGGTACTAAGGCAACAACGAACGACGATTGTTGTCTTGTGTGAGGTAAGAACTGCAAGAACTCTGACCGGCAGGAACTGCAAGACATGTTGGTACCGACTGCCCAAATCTGCACCGTCGCAAAGCGGAAGGGAATAATGGGAACAAGTGCTTCTATTGCCACACCTGGAAACAAGAGACACCCTGAATTTTTGCATTTCATCACCGACCTCCCGCGTAAAGCTCCCTGGATATCGCCAGGTGTGCCTACTTGCAGAAAGCGGGTCTTTTTTTTCTCTTGCGATCGCCGAAGGCGCGGGTCGTGTGGTGATCTGGTGGATGGGCTTGGGTGGTGGCTCTCGAACTGGACTGTTTCACCAGTGTCGTTTCGGCATCAATCAACAGTCAGAGCGGGATGATAACCACTTCAGTCACTAGAGGAGGTATGATGCCACGGGTTTAATAAAATCAATGCTGGAATTTGGTTTTCAGGATCCATAAAGAAGCGCTGCCCAGGCCGGCCTAACCAAAGCCCATGCCAAAGCGCACAAAGATGCCTGATGTAGGGGCCTCAATAATTAGAATAGGGTTTTGGGTCCCACTATACTGTACTTATACCCCTAAAACAGTATAGGTAATTATTGAGGCCCCTACAGTAAACTCATTCCTATCTATGAGTAATGACAGGGTGCCGGCCTGGAAAGAGACGTAGACCTATGTAAGAGCGATTTGTGGGATGCCATTTACAGCTCCAGGCCGCCGTGGGAACACACCCTGTAGTCGGGTGATATACCCGCGAGTTTAAATCATCTGATCTTGCACTCTTTTCAAGAGACCTGAAACGCTCGCCCTTCTGGGCACATTCTTCCGGTGTGGCGTAGCCCGTGGAAAAGCTTTGGGCAACAGCCCAGCATCATCGTCGGGGGAGCTGCTGCGACCGACACTTCCCTCAAATGCTTCGCTTTACACGTCCCTCTGTAGTAGTTGCTTTTGCGGTTCGGCTGATAATGGACCGCCCGGGCTCATAAAAGCAAGACTATATCTCAGGGTCAAACGGGCAAGCTACCCCAAGAACCCAAATCCTACACTACACCCCGAACCCTAAACCCCTAAATCCTGCACCCTAAATGCTGAACCCTAAATCCCAAACTCTAAAACCATGGATACCACAGGCCCAGAGTCGAGCCGCCACGCTTCGCTCTTACATTCTCACACGACGGTTTAAGCTTAAACTGGAGGTTGACACACTTAGGCATAGAAGTCCAAACAACTAGCATTGCTATTTTGGGATTCCTGATTATAGTTGTAGTTTAATATGCCAGATATCCTATTCGAAACACTCTCGCCCCCCATAGTAACATCCGAGAGGCCCCCGTCCTGCAAGAAGGAGACACTACCAGAAAGGCTCTTCTCTCAGCACCACTACCAAGGCCTCTTCTTCAATATCGGCTTCCCTACCCCTCTTACAGGGTTTCGTAGAGACTCCCATATCCCTTAATTAAGGAATTCCTTGCATCAAATCAGGGATCCTATCATAACTTTAAAGGTCTATTCCTTAAATAAGTAGGGGTATTGGAGTCTCCGGGCCTCTGCCAGCTCCGTTTTGAACCTCTGCCGCCTTTTGCGTTTAATATAGGGGCCTTAATAATTAGAATGGGGTTCCTGTAAAGGGCTCCTTGTAAGATCTACTATAAGGGATCTATATGGGTACTGTAGTACAGGGGCCTTCATGATTGGAATAGGGTTTTGGGGCTTACACTAGAAGTATAATAAAAAACGCCAAAATGGTATAGGTTATTGTTGAAGCCCCTACATTAGGGTTTAGGGATTAAGGTTTGCAGCGTCTTTCCAATATGCGAACCGACACAGCTCGTGCAGGCCTTATATGTTTGGCAGTGCGACGTATTCGCGCACGCCCTTTGGGAAGTACTTGGAGGGTCGGGGGACTTAGTAAGTAGGTAGTAAGTAGACTTATAAGTACCCTAAAAGGGACCCTAATTGGGGTTCTGGTACTTATAAGTCCCTAGAATAACCAGTTACTAAGTCCCCTCGACCCCCCAAGTACGTCTTCCATCCTGCCCTGTCAATCCTTGGAGCCCTGAAGTTGTCGTGCGTGGGGTCTTTGGTGCGTGTAACATAGGGGCCTAAAGTTTTACCAATACTATGGGGTTCTTTTAAAGGGGTCTATAAGGGCTACTATAAAGGCGATTATAAGGATTCAGTGTAGGGGCCTGAATAAGTACCAGTACTATTTTGGGGGCTCCTTGTTATAATTATAGCAGAAGGGCCCCAAAACCCTATTCTAATTATGAAGGCCATTAAGGCGCCTATAGTAACCGATTAGAACCACGACCCTCGTTGTTCATCACAGCACACGGAGTCGCAGCGGCACACCAAAACAATGCAGTTGAGGTGACCTTAGGCCACAATTATGTGCAATAGTTCCTTGCAGACATGCCCACTGGAACCGGAGTGTGTCTGTGAGGGCGTGTATGTCGGTTTCCCCGCGTCTCAACAGTCACAAAGAAGCGCCCCAAACTCAGCCCAAGACAAAGCACACTTAGACGTTCCACAGCAGCAGGAATCTCAAGAAACCGCACACTCCTGCAGTGCAAACCAGCCCCTGAAGGACTACTACCTAGTGACCCGGTACTGACAGTGAAGACGGAGAGTAGCCAACAAAGACGTCGCGCTAGCAGACGTTGATGCGGCGAGAGGTGTGCCGGCAAAACCAGGGTCAGCTTCTCTTGTAGACTGCTCTCGCACTTCTACGTGTCATTCATGTTGCAGTTCCTGAATGCAGCGATCCGTATCCAGCGGGCACCAGGGTTACAGAGCTTCACACACCGAAAGCGTAGCGACCGTGACCCCTCGCAGTGGCAATTTAGCTTCGGACGAGGGTGTGTCATCTTGGGGCTGCAGCTCAGTAACCCAAAACCAAGCTCCCAAAGCTCAACAAAAACAGTGAAGCCCCAAACCCCAGAGCCATCGCAATCGAAACCAGGTATACCCTCCTGATATGCGTAGCCACTACACATAGTATTCTCACAACCACTACATTCGAGCATCTGTGTCAACAACACTGCTGGTTG